ACCTCGCCAAAGGAACTCGTCTCGAAATCCGTGACGGGTAGGTAGAGCCAAAAAAAAGACGTTTTTCGACCTTGCCACGTCGAGGATATGGAATCGCTCCTTCTTCCAGAAGCGTAATCCGCTAATCTACCGAGGTCATTCTCGCTCTCCTCCGTCAACATCGGGCCGCATTTAGTAATAAATTTCACGGTCGGATTTCAGAGACACGAGGTAAGTGAGACGGGGAGGAGGTGGCGTTTAACAGAGGGTGGCGAACGTCGGATTTCATCCGTAAAGTGTTCCTTATAAAGGAATTCTTAATAAAGGAATGTTCCACTGAGAATGTTCTACTGAGAAAGTCGGCTAGTCCCGGCGGCAGGACTGAATTAAGATAAGCCGAATAGTGCCATGCTAAGTCTAAGTTAAGACTCGTATTTACCACCAAATCTCTAGCTATTCGCACCGCGATATCGTATACCCCATCTCCCTTCGTATCGCACAATATCCCCCGAGCAGCTAGCTAGGGGGGATCGTCCATAGAATATTATACTGCTTTGTGCGTTTCATTCTTTTTTGTATGCGGAATACCGACCTATATTTCACCTGAATAAATTTCCGGAATCAATCCGCTTAAATCCGTCCTGCTTGCTCGTTGCCTCGTAACTAATACATTTTATACATCATCTCTGCCGTTGTTAATTAAAGCTTCTTGCCGACCGCCGTGTATACGAATCTCCTCCCGTTGCTCGCGCCTTCGAAATCCGAAATGTATAAATATTACTTTAACGTTCAAGGTAGAGTCAACTCTCGCTCGTCTTATTTTTGTTTTGCTTGCAAACTTTTTTCTCCCTTCCCTCCCTTGCGCGTATTTACGCTCAAGTTCGTTTTTCACGTCGCGTCATCTTACTCAGTTTAATTTATAACTTCCTTGTAATTACTTCGCAACTAGTTTCTGCGCCACTACTGTCCGCAGTTTCCTCACCGTGTGTATATATATATATATATATTTTTGGTTCTCCCGCGCGAGAAGAGAACGTCATTCCAGACCAGTAGCGAAATCTCACGATCAATCACGATCGACGTGTATCACGTTTCGAGGAAACGACGGCATTCACGTTGCGGGATTTTCCAGGTCGGCTGGCTGCGCACCTCGGACCAGACGATTCTCTCGATCCACACGAGGATCGTGACGCATAATGCGCGTATCACGGTCGCCTACGAGAGCACCGGGGGTGCGTCCGGCAGCGCTTCCGGGGTGACCGGAAGTAGCCAGGCGACGGAGGAAATCGTCGACGGCACGTGGCGTCTGCACATTCGCCAGCTGAAGGAGACCGACAGGGATTGTTATATGTGCCAGATCAACACCAGCCCGATGATATCCGAACTCGGTTGTCTCGACATACACGGTAAGTGTTTGTCTCTTATCACCAGCCGTGTCGCATACGCGTCACGCCGGCCTGTTCCGGCGGGAATGGAGCGGGAAATCTTGCGCATAATGCAGCCCGTAGCCTGCAGTTATAAATCTCTAATGTAGCTCTGAATTTAGGCTCTCGTGAGCTATTCGCAAGCTTTTCCAACCGGTAGCGTCGTCCTCAGCGACGACATTAAGCACGTGTAATTACTTTTGTTTCATCGCGCAAATTCAGATATCGACAGCGAGGTGATAATTAATAGAGTGATCACGGTAATATTTCAAACATTTATACGCGTGTCGCCTATTTATTTCATTAATATGACATGTGATACAAAATTTAGTTCCGCGATTGATTATTTATTTACCGCATCTGATTTTTGCTACGATGCAATATTAAACTAATCTGATAATGCATATAATTGGGAATGTAATCGGTATTGAAAATTTAAAATCGTCAGGAATTTAATACGCGGGTTTTTTGTGTAATTTTAAAAACTCTTTACATTATTTTTTTTTTTTTTAATTTTTTTCAGCGATAATTCTCTCAAATCGTATTTATTCCCATACCTCGCCGTGCCCATATTCGCCATTCGCGGAAGAGTATCAATTTTAATTGTGCTTGTTAAGCATCAAAGACGACGTTGCAAACTCCACCAAAAAGTAATGCATAACATTAGCGTTACTTAAACGTCTATTTAAGAAGCATGCAAATCGATACGCGAGAAAGGAGTCGGGGAACACATTGCATATGCAAAGCCTTTGAGTTTACTCGAACGGACGTACGAAACCGAAAACGCGTGCGCCAAACTATAACGTAAAAGATCCTCCTTCCCGTGAAATTACCTTCCCTTCCCTCCTCCGTTCTACTTAAGCGCACCCATTCTTGCCCGTTGCCCCCTATCTCGGCCTTACCGTAAACGCGCCTCGAGGATGCCTGTTCTTTCAAAGACGTCCCGGCGAAGTGCCGGTTTTACGTAATGACTTTCATAAAGTACCCGCGCAGGAGAGAGAAAGAGAGTGGATAGGTGGCCGTTACCAATTTACTGATATGACCCGTTTGCTCCGCAGTGCCGCCCGACATCGTTTACGGGGGTGACACCAGCGCCGATCTGGCAGTGGCGGAGGGCGACAACGCGACCTTGAGCTGTCGCGCGACAGGACACCCACCTCCGAGAGTTTCCTGGCGGAGGGAGGATGGTGAACCCATCGTCATAAGGGCTTCCACGGCGGGTAGGAGAGGCACTATTGAAAATTTCAAATTTTCATATTTTTTTCTCGTTTGCCAGTGTCACATTACGAAGAACGATGGGAGAGTATTTTTATCGAAAGTATTTTTATCGGCAACAAAATCTTGTAGGTTCATCCACGATATATTGCTAGAATATTAATTTTTTTTCTTCTCAAAAAGACAAATGCCAAGTAACTTCAACGCCATCTTGGATATTTCAATACATTACCAGAATTCAGAATCAAATGTGACAAAGTGGTGTTGATTAATTTTTGAAACTTTCTGTTACGCGAAATAATCGGTTAGAGTGTTTATTCAAATGTCGTAAAAGCATTGCATTAAAAAAGCAAAATTATAAAAAGTTTTGTCTGAAAGTAGAATAAAAGTTAAAATCTAAATTTAAATTTAGATAAAATTTCAAAAAGTTCCACAAGCTGCAATAAATTTTCATGATATCCTCTGATATTTTAGAGTAAAAAAAAACTTCGAGAATTCTAGGTTTTTTTCAGAGAGTAGATATTCCGGGTTCAAATAGCGTAAATCTATATTCTGCTGCAGATTTGAATAAAATCGTCATGACACAAATATAAAACTGACGATAAAAAATGCCGGTGACATAGGCAAATGAAGGAAAAATAAATCTTTAATTTCGATCCTATTCTGTTACAAATCGACGGCATGACGCAATACGCTTCAGGTAGCGCGAGATGGATGCGAAATTCTCGTGAATAACAGATGCTGAACGACGCAAACATAACTCAATATTGATAGGATAATTAAGTGCTACTAATATCTTAGTTACCTCGTAGTTACTGGGTCGAGACGCGTTAAAGCGCGAACTATTATCGGAGTCCGGGGATGCGGACGAATCCTTTCCCGATTGCACTTACCGCCTCGTTATCGATTTTGTCACGCCAGAGGGCAAAATCGTAAAATCTAGCTGTCTCATCTTTTTTGCAAAGATTTTCTTTTTTTCCTTTCTCCCTCGTAAAAAAATTAACCCGCGCGAAAATGCATAAAGCGCCGAACCGTAAAACGCGCAATCGTCTTTTTTTCTCTCCGTTATCTGATTCTGAGCGCGAAATTTTTTTTAGTTGTTGTTGTCGACGAAGAATTAAATATGACATCTTGTCGAGAGAGAAGTCCCAGTTGCTTATCGATATTTCTTTCGTGTCGCAAAACGACGACAACAACGATGACGACGACGATAGAGATCATGATCCCAAGATTGGTTCAGACAGAGAGAAAGTGACTAGACTGATGGTAAATCGGTGGTGGTAAATCGAAAGACTTTTCGCACTGGTATTCTTCGCGTTTATGTAGATTGGGTGTAAGATGGCAGATGACTGGATCTAACGAGTAAGTTTCTCGTTGAAACAAGTTCCTCTTTGTGAACTGACCTCGAAGACGGGTGGAACGTGAGAGCAAAGCCGCAAGCAACCGAGAGTTCCTCTGGATGGTATCTCGGCTTGTGCGCGTATATAGAGATCGAGAGAGAGAAAGAGAGAGAGAGAGAGAGAGAGAGAGAGAGAGAAGCTATGTCGACGTAAAGTTGGCGAACACGCTCG